ATAATTTTCTTCAATCTTGTTACCTGTCTGCTTTTGAAAATGTAAGAATAATTTACATACCGATCACTCCTGGGAGTCAAAAATCTAAAGATTTGCCTCCAATTTATATGATGCATTATCTGTTAACGTTGAGTTGTTACCGACACTTTTCCCCACAATGAAAAGTTTGAATGATAATTTTAGGACAAGTATCGGTGTTTCTTTGACGCGAACTACACGCAGGTGTCAAAGAGTTAATCAAGATAAATTTGTCGCACGTGTGCAATTAAGTATGCAGTCGCATTTCAAAGTGAATATGCAAATTTTTCACCAAATGAAAGCCATAAAGTCTCATTAATCACGCTCAAATCGTTCTTTATTTGACTTCACGGCCAGAAAATTGCGCAGTGTTGTATTTTTCAATTCTGAAAGTTCAGACACAAACTCTTCTATTAAACAATGCTTTTGGGACATCTCTTCACTCACATATAATATTTACCGGGTTTTGCGACGAGTATCGATCGATTGAACGTACTACTGCCAGCTGAGAGAAAAGTAAATTAATCTCGCTCCTTTATCTTAAACAGAACACGTCGACAGTTAGAGAGGATACCATTAAGGCACATCTCATGAGACTGCCTAGCACTCTCAGTACAAAACACATTGCCATGGTTAAAAAAAACGAACCGAATCGGCGACACAATCTTGCGAAGGAATAAACAAGGGCGTGATAAAAAAATTAATTTATCACATAAATTGCGGTGTTATACAGGGATTTATGGCCCGAAGAAAAGCCGTAACAACACACGTGAAAAAATATCGTATTCTTTCACGTGTGTTGATATAGCCAATCAGCTGCTGACACGTCACTCGCCTTTGGCGCCACTCGGTCAGGTTGATGAATGAACGGCAAAGCGTTCACGATTCTTAATACAAGGTAGTTAGTCGGAACTTTCTCATTGTTGCGGCTAAAACTCTGAAAAATCCGTATCGCTGATAGACAGTGAGGTTCAAACTTTTGTAGAAGGGGAAAAAACCAATATATAAAAAGAAAAACCGACAGTTACGTATTCACTGGCTTTGGTGTTGTCATTTCTCGCGGCTGAGAATGAAAATCGACAACTGAAAGATTTGCCACTGGCCGATTCTGGCCGTTTACCTGAAAGACTTCTTCTGTCGGTAAGGACAAAGTCAATAAATGAGAATTTGTAAATTGACAATTACGACAAGTGTTGTTTTTTTAATCGTGATTCGACGCATTTTTCCATCCTGAGAGTTAGCGCCAACGCACTCTACGATTGTTATTTGGGGATTGTCGATTCATTTATTTCCATCCATTAATGAAGTTGGCTCTCCTTGTGAGTAAAGGGCCATTGTGTTTATATGATAAACAAAATAATATATGGTTGCTTGTAGATAAGGAATTTCTCTTCTCATGTTCAACTTAACATCTCACTCGTGAGATATTGAGTTAAACACTCGAAGAGAAATTCTGTCTACGCGCGCCCATGTATTATTCTCTATTTATATTTTCACGCTCAACCTAATAATTGGACACCTAATTGTTATATCTTGTAAACGTAGAAACATGATTATAAAGAATGATGTGCGAGCAGACTTACTTTGATCTTCCTCCTGCGAGGGCATCAATTGAAGGAACGAGAGCCTTGTAAAAATTTAAGATGGCGGTAGCAAAAGATTGCGAGAGGAGACTGAATCGGCAACTGATTTATAAAATCGTGGTCAGGCTGACGTCATTGAAGCAGCCAATCAGTACGCCTATAAGTTTCCCAGCACTCTTTTACTGACCATCTAAAAGTGGGTTGAGCCTAAATCCTGCCGGCCAGAGTTACGCTCAAGGAGCCGACTAATGACGAGTTTGCGAGTCGGGTGGTTGTCGGAATTGTCGGCTATTCCAGTATAGCGGACTATTCCAGTGACACCATTTGCGATTTACCAACAGTCAAGTGACGTTATTGAACCAGTGTTCTTTTTGTTTGTGCTAAATATTACCATTGCCTCATTGAGCTATGAAATATGTATTAAGTAGCAATGATAAATACAGCGGTGGAACCTCGCTAAACTGGACACCCTTGGGACTGGAGGAAACGTACGGCTTAGAGGGGTGTCTAGTGTATTGAGGTTTTACCCATGAGGAAATTTTATGCCGCATATTGCATGGCTGATTTTAAGTACCAGTACATGGTACACGAGTACTAATACGGCGCATCAGTAAAGGAACAAACAAGATGGATCACAAGAAAGCTTTTCAACGTCATTTTATTTAATAACAAGAAAATTCACTGTATTACATACAGGGTATTATGATTGCTGCTTTTAAATCATTCAAACATGGAATGTTCACGACTCTCTGTCCAAATTTCAAGATGCTTTTGGAAAAAGGAATCCAATGTTAACTGCATCTGATTACTACGTTGTTCAACTATTTTTCTTTTGGTTGAATTTTAAGATTTTATGCTTCAGTACCGATAGAACAATGAGTAATTAGCCAATGCACGTTTCTCACTTCCGATTGGGATTTCACAGCTGCATGATTACAATTTCAATTTTTATTACATCCATTTTGAAATCAGTGGTGGTCCCTGTAATCTGATTGGCTCTAATTGGTGCGATTTATTCACGAATCGCACCATTTTTTACTCTAAATCGCATCTTTTTTCCGGCCAATGAGAAAGTTACACTTAACACAAAACAACCAATCAGATTTCAAGGTTTGTTTATAATAACCAATCAAATTGCAGTAAAATGAAAGACAAAGAGTATCATGTGGGAAATTTTGGTCTGAAATCATACTTGTGATTTCAAATCGAACGAGTGCGCAGCGCGAGTTCGATTTTGAAATCACGCGTATGATTTCAGCCCAAATTGTTCTCCACTCAGTTCAATTACCACTATTAATCACGTTTAAAAAGGTGTGATTTGATTTTGGCGGCAAGCTTAAAAATTTTACATCCGGTTTAACGAGGTCAATTTCTTTGTCAGCAAGTGATTACAGACTGAAGAAAGCGTCCGGTTTCCGGAAGTGAGGGGTTCCGGTTTACCGAGGTTAAAAATAGAGAAACTGTTTGACAGAGATTTTGAGGCCGAAAAAAAGGTCTGGTAAAGAGAGGATTCCGGTTTAATGAGGGTCCGGTTTAGAGGGGTTCCACTGTATAGCCAATATTGAAGAATATTATTTGTTTAATACAGTTTTGAGAAACAAACCTGATATATGAAGTTTTGTAGTAGGACAAAATGTTGACAAGTAACGTTGAGATTTAATTACCACAATAAATTCCCATTTTTCCATGAAATATTCAGCTATTTTCAGATTTGTTATCGCTTGATACAGAGTGACCACTTTTAAGTGCCCAAATTGTGTTAATTTTCATGCTAATGCTTCAATTTGTTACTTTATTTCTTTTAATTTTAGTTTTGGTAATAATATTTTCCAATATCTTTCCTGACTTCTCTGCAAACATTTTCTTTTACCCTATCACGTTTGCAAACAATTTATTTTGTCTTTTCAGACCCTGCAAGCAATTCTTTTTCAATATTTCTCACTCTTCTCATACCCCCCTCCAGAAAAATAATGGTTCGTCCTTAAGGGAAGTGGCCTCTTCAGAATTTTCAATAAGTTCACTCACCATATGGCTTTGATACCGCCGTCTTAACTTAATGACTCAACTCGATTGCCATTTTTCTCTTTGCCGTCTTTAACCTGTTTCCAAAAAGAATCTGCAGGTGACATTCTCAGTATCTGCTCAATCGATTATTCTTGCGCCAAGGTATTGGGCCACCTATTCTGCTTCTTACAGTTATTTTCTGCTCTCTGGAAGAAACCAGACTCTCAGTCATTTACAGTCATCGGACTAATTTCCACTTTCCTTAAAAAAGTCATAAGTAGTTGTTTGCCTTAGGCAGCTTCAGCATGATTTTAAGCCAATCAGTTACTCACAAACATTGATTACTCATGTAGCAAATACGACTACGCTTTCCAAGACGCTTCTGGTAGTAGCCATTTCAATTTGTAGCAGGTCAAGGAGTACCATTAACCCTCTTAATAAGAATTACAATTTCCTCGATTGTGATTGTTTGAATGTTTTGGTTGATATACGAGCGCTAAGGACTTACGAGGATTATTTTATGGGTCTGAGCTCTCCAAAGCTGTACACGTCCAGTTTCATATTCTCACACTACGATGCTTATGGTCAGACGAGAAATGAGTTTCAAGCCTTAATAGACGAGTACAAAATACCAAAAACAAGACTTTATGGGAATCGAGCCACGTACGTTTATGTAATGCACACAGGGGCAGATGAAATTAAGTAGACCATCCTTATCTTCGTTAAATCCAAAGAAGAAAAAAACAGACGATGTTCTTACAACTGATGTTACTATGCGGGAAGGACTGAACAAAACAAGGTATCTTTGATTTTTGCTTGGTACACCACATTTAGACACTGAATATTTCCCACACACAAAGATGTGCAGCAAAACAAAGGTAGATTATACTATGCAAAAGCAGCTCATTATTTGTTTTCTGATGGGGTCAGTGAAAAGTTTTAAGGAAGACGTAAAATATACTGAGTAGTTGTAGGGATTGTGTATGTCGATAATTATCAACACCTTAACCCGGCCAATAATGAAATAGCTTTTTTTTACATCACAGCTTCGTTCGGTACGAATGCAGGTCGCTTCACCTCATTTCCATATCGATTCCCACCTAAGTTACGTCGCCCCTAATTGTGGTCACTGAAGCTGTTGATTACCAGTCAGAAGCTACTAACATTTCAAAGAAGGCTGAGGCTAATTTTGCGGAGCGACGTAACCACACTTGAGGGCGAAGTCACTTGGCCAGGGATGTAGTGACTAGTGGCAACGTGATCAGTTACCAATGACGCCGACTTGAGGCAAAGTCTCCAGAAGTATTAGTTATTGTTGTTATTATTTTTTTTTTTTTTTTAGTAATTCGTAAGTCTACTTTCAGCTACTAACACAAGGTACCTCCAACTGTCTCCTTTATTTAATTTGGAACAGCAATTATCTGCTCAACTGGCAAGGTTCAGAAGAGGGCCTCAATGAGGTCAACCATTAGCCGTAAAACGACTAACACTTAGCCGTTAGGTGTGAAAATTGACAAATTTTAACCGTTAGTCGTAAAAAAAAAGTTAACCGTAAAATTGTTTTTCTTTTAATCACATAGGAAGGAAGTTAACCGTTAACTGTGAAAGTCATCATCTCATTGAGACCCACAGACAAGTGTTAAAGCCACTGGAAACGAAGTCTCTTAATTCGTAAATCACCGAATAATTTGTAGTTCTAGTCTTGTAAAGGCTCAGTAGAAGGTTTGATGTTACAATGAGTTACACTCAAAGCAGTAGTCTCGTGTGCTTTGCAGAATTTTTCAGGGTCTCGTTCCCATAAGCATCCTGTGCTCGCCACAAATTGGTCAAAACTTGGGATCCCTGTGATATCAACGTGCCACTTGACCAATAGCCAACCCAATTATGTAAGATCAATGTAAAGTCTCCTCATTCCACATTCACAGCAGAACTTGGCATTTTCCACAGGGTATTTTGTACCGCACTCATGGCAGAATTTTGACAGCTTTTTCCCCGCGCTCCCTTCTCTTTGTCCTCTTCTGGCAGAGTGGGATGCAGTCTCTTGCAGTCTCTCTCGAGACGAGACAGGGGTGTGATCCATTGGCGGCGAGGGACTGTTACTGTCGAACCCAAAATCATCAAAGAATGTAGGGCTTGGATCTCGTAACGCGATATGCCTGGCAAAAAAAAAAAAATTGACATGCAAATACAACACAACTTATCTGGTTAACCTGATAAAAAATCCCAGACTCACACCTGTTTCTTTGGCCTGATGAAGATGATGACGAGATTCTATCAGAAACGTCCGAGTAGTCTGAGGTAGGTCGTGAATACCTTGAACCTGATCCACCCCTCCCCCCTGGGTTATCTGTATTCCCATTTGATTGGCTTGATCGGCGGCCATATCTGGCTTCCCTGATCTGAGTGGCAGGCGATGTTTCTTCATCAGAATCGAACAAATGTTGATTCCTTTCACTGCTCCTTGCTCTGCCAGAATATGTTCCTGGGTAAAGATTTTGCACAGAAAGATGTAAGTGATCGAAGGAGGGGATACACAAGGCAAAGAGTCATGCCAACACATTTCTAAGACAAGAGACAGTTACAAAGCACTTTGTGTGAGATGGAAAACTTTTGTGAATATCTTGGTCTCCAGGACAGAGTTTTGACCTTAACTCCCAAGATCTGATTGTCAACTCTCCCTTCCAGCAGCTGCATATTTCCTTATAGATTAGTTACAAGAATTTGTTGTTGGATATACCTGATAAGTTGAAGTATTCTCATTACCTGTTTGCTGGTTAATGTATGAATTTTTGAGGGAGAAGTTACATGTTAATCACTTCAGTTGCACAAATTCAAACTGGTTTGAATTCAATATTAAAACCACAGAAAATGGGTAAAAAAGACTTTTTCTGAAGACAATGAAAACAAATGATTTGTCACAGTAATGTTTCTTAATACTCTTTTTTTCTGATTAAACAATATTTACCATTCATATCTTTATTTCTCTGCTGCGATGGTGAGCTGTGTCCTTTCCGTGTTGACATTGGGCTTGCATTTGGCACCTGTTTTCTTCTGGAACTAGGAGAGGCAAGTGGTTGTCGGCTGCCATAACCTAGAAATTAGGGAAAATTTACCAATTTTTTAGATGAATGCTGCTCTATCATGGAGGGAAACATTGTGTAAAACTTTCCAGGCTCAAAGTTTACATCCTCCTTACCAGAGCTTTGACCAGGAGAAGAGAAATCCAGATCTGATTTTGTTTTTGCTGAAGCAACTTGTCTGGTTTTTCCTGCTGATGATACAGTTGTTGCAGAGCCAGTAGATGTCCTCTTTCCAGGTAATGGAGGTTTATACTGTTTTGAGAAATAGAAACAATCACTTTAATGTTGAACACGCTAAATTAAAAGTAAATCTTTAAGAAGAGTGGTTGATCATAAAAATCACAATTTCTAACATTCTGCAAGCCACTTGTTTGACACACAAAGAAATCCATAGTTTGCTAACAGGTATGTCACACAAGGAAAGCAACAGCATCTTTGTCCCTCTTTTCTAGGTCTCTTGTCTCTGCATCCAAACTTGTTACTAGACACCTTAATCTCCCAAGTTATTCTTAGTAGTATATGGCAGTCAGCAGCTGCCTTTTCAAACACCTACATAATTTGGAAAGCTCCAAAACTCTTGAACAAATTGGTACCCTTAATCTCCACATTATTAACAAAAGCTTCTCTATTAATTTTTCTTGTTTTATTCTCCACCATGTTCCCACCAATAGCATAGCTCCATTTTCCTGTTCATAAACACCCACATCAAACAACTCCTCTATTCACTTGGACAAAGGGCCAAAGCTGAAAAAGATCAGCTTTAGAAACTCTTTACTTACTTTGGCCAAGTTACACTATCAACTCTGTTGATTAAATCAAATTATGTGGTTAAACCTTCCACTAGATGCTCCACCAAAGTTCTTAAGAAACTTACCCATTTTACCATGTAAAGAGCCCAGGAAGCTTGTGGTGGTTAACTATGACAAATTCTACTTGAAATAATTTTTACTATATACAGGCGTGCACTGGAGTAACCCACTTACCTGTGTACGCTTTGCTAAACTTCCTGATTTTGCTGAAGATGAATTGGTTAAACGACTCTTCTGCTCTTTACAAAATGGTATGTGCCTCTCAGCAGCATGTTCATTAAATCGCCGGCTGCAGTGTGGACACTGTACATAATCTGGGTTTGCAGCTGGTGGAGGAGGAGGTGGGAGAGGACCCCCTGTCTTCTGGGCACTAGCCACGCCCCTAGCAGCTCTGAGATTGTTGACAAATTCTTCATGCTTTTCTCTCCAATTTGACTGGGTGAAAAGAGAAAATTCGTTCTCTGAGACGATACTTGTAGTTCATAATTTACCTGATTAACCCTTTAACTCCCAGAAGTGATAAACATCTAACTTCTCCCTGCAATATCCATACATTATCCAGCAAACAGGTAATGAGAATACTCAAAGATATCAAGTAGAAGTTGTTTTCTTGATCTAACACCAAATTCTTGTAACTAATTTAAAAGGAAACATGTTGTAGCTGCAGGGGAGAATTGACTATCAGATCTTGTGAACTAAAGGGGTTATGATGGTAAAAGGTCTGAGGAGTCCAATTTGGTCTGTATTCATAAGAGTGATTAACAAACTCAGACAACCACAAAGAGGGAGTCTGATTTGTTAATCACAAGTATGATTACAGACAGAATTAGACAACATGAAGTCCTGTTACCAATTAGCCAAAACTATGACAAAATTTGCAAAAGAAAATAGACATTGGTTGTACATTTGATTAAAAAAAAAGTTAACTCAGCAAAATGTGAGACAACAGTGCACACACATGACATGTTCTGTTCACTTACACAGGGATAACATGTTAACTGTCCCCTTTGACTGTCCTATTACACTGTCCTATTAGTGCTCAAACTGGGCTGGTGATAACCAATCACATTCAAGAATTTTGTTATAGTTTTGATAAACTTTATAATGACTTCTACAATTTAAATGTTAGTAACAGAAATAATCAAATATTGCCATGACTATTACTGTCATGAATTTTCCTCTCTATTTTCACCATTTAGTGCAGAGACCAAACTATGGTGCTTAGGCACTAGAAAAATGTTTGATTTTCTCACAAGGGAGCCATACTTTGTTATATTATTTCCAAAAAACTGTACTAAGATTTTTCACTCCATTCGAAATGAAATATCTACTCATTATCGATAGAAACTGGCGTTACCTTTTTTCCTCCGGCTGCTAATTCTGACTGTGTCTTCGTTGGTTTTTTCACAAAATCTTTGGGAAGATCAGACCTCCTCTGTTTAGAAGAATCAAACGGCTTTCTCTTCTTCTGCCCTTGACAAACTTTCGCATGTCGACCCTAACGAAAAAATCAATACAATCACATCAGTTAAATTAATCATCGTGACTTAAAGTAAGAATTGACTTTCCCTATCCTTCATTATGGTTACCGTATCAAAATTTAAAGGAGTCATGTCTTCACAAGGATATTTTCACACTGAGTTAATTCAAAATTTGGAGGCTGATATCAAAATAATAAAATAAATTCACAGTTACAAATTCAGCCGCTGTAACAGGTTTATGACACCTACGAGCGCAGTTGGATTAAAAGTTCTTCCACACGACGAACATTCGGCGAGTCTTGTAGGAGTTCCCGTGTCACGAAAAGCTGAAAAATCAAACAGGTCATAAAAGTGTTAGAATTATCTTATGTCATTTCATCAAAGCCTATAGCAATCGCTTACCATCGATATAATCATCAAAATCTGCCATCAAACTTGTAACTATGAGCTTCGTCAACAAAAAAACGCCATCTTGAAAATGTTTGCTGTCATCCGCTGACCAAAGTATCAAGTATCGCGGAAGTGAATGTCTTGTCGCTCTCCAGGCCTGGTCGCTCCTAGGGCACAATGCTCATTTCATTGAGCCCGCAGTTCTTCCCAATCAGTAAAGTTTTCAAAATGGCGACCAAGCGTAAATTTGCAGGGGAGAATAGCGGCGCGCTAGTTCCTGTTAAGAAGCCGAAACAGAATCAGTTAGCTTTACAAGACCAAGGAGGGGCAATTCAATCGGTATGGATAAATATATTTGGATTTTGCGTTTTAATTTGGTTTCATAATTGCTTGCACGTGGTTGAACTTTGCTATGCGTTCAAACACTCATCATTATTTTAACTGCTGGTTTTATCTTTGATACATAGCTTCCCCAAAGAACATCAAGTCTTGAGGCTCCCATTATGTTGTTAAGTGGGCATGAGGTTTGTTTAGTTCTATTTCAGTTCTTTAGTTTTCTTTTAATCGTCCACCAAATAAAACTTTGTCACCCTTGCTCTGCAAACGTATATACTCAGACGCTGTGCTTGTAAGACAGCAGAAGGAATCTTCCGTCAATCGATGGATCTAGTGTTTGGTTAATCCTCCATCCCTGGTTATTGATAAATTTTCTAGAATTATTAACCCCACAGTCTCAAGTTCTTTGCTCTCTGTTTTCAAAATAGGATTGTATACATAGTAAATAAAAGGGGGTACGTTTCTAGAGAAACTGTGGTCCTGCGTCGATGGAAGAGTGTAACAGAGTTGCTTATTTTTATCGACTGAGTTTATAACGTTAACTGGCCACCGTAAAGATTTTAAAAGGTGACGTTTCGATTGTTAGCCCTCAATCGCTCTGACGAAGGGCTAACGCTCGAAACACGCTTTTAAACTCTTGTATACATAATGATCTATTTTTAATTTGTCATTTGTTTATTTCTCTACTTAGTACTTACTAATTACGTATAGGTTTGTCAATAAAATGTCACTAATTAAGGAAGAGAAGGGTACTTTTAGGATAACTAATTTTGTGCCCTGCACTACAATTGTTGTTATGGTAAATGAGAAATAGAAATACATGTATATACACTTAAGTAGAGGGAAGAAATATTCAATATGCACTGAATCACACAAGATTCATTAGAGAGCAAGAAAATTTGGGATTCATTACTGAGCAGCCTAATAGAGTTTCAGAGCTTTTTCAAATAATTTTTTTATTATTTTTGACAGATAGGAAAGGGAATATTGTTCCAAGAATTTTTATAAAATAATGCTACAGGAGGAAATCTATATATATGGTGATCTACCTATGGTCAAATTACTGATTATATTTCCTTTCACTCATAGGGAGAGATTTTCACTTCAAGATTTCACCCCTCTGGGGAGACTTTGGCCTCAGCAGGATTTGATAGACTGATTTGTAAGCTTATTTATTTCTACCGATGATAAATGTTTTGTTGTAATTATTATTATTCACATCATTGATCATGGACTATGATTGTCTGGGCAAGAGAGGTCCTGAAGTCATTAGAAGTGACTGACATTTTGAACACTTTTCACAGAGGTCACCTTAAGAGTCTTGTGAGGAGTCTTATTTTGCTTCTTTTTCAGACCTGTGGAATGTTTATGGAGAATGTGAAAACTTTGCAGTCCTCAAAGGTCATACTGGTGCAGTCATGGAATTACATTTCTCATTGGATGGGAGGTAATAAAAAGTTTGTTAACCCTATAACTCCCATGAGTGACCAAGAGAGAATATCTCCTTACAATATCAATACAATATCATGGACACGAGTGATGGGGATTTAGAAAACTATCAATTGTGGGATTTCTAATTGATGCAATACCAAATTCTCCAAACTAACATGATGAGAATTATTTGACAGACAGTAAGGAGAATTACTAATGAAATCTTGGGAGTTGAAGGGTTAAACATTTCAGGTGTCTAGCTTGAGAAATCATTTTTTCCCCTCCTGAAGAACTCATGCCTGCAAAGCAACTTGTGCTAATAGCTCCAATGAGAGCATCTTTTTTGTTTTTTGTACTAAATTTCTTCTTGGCAACCAGATGGTGATAAATGCACTATTTGTCCAAGGTGTCTTAACTATCTTTGCAACTGGTTGTAGCAACACATTTCTTCTCCTAGCTGGTTCCCTCAATTACATATCAATTGGTTCTTAAAATTACTGTATTTTTTTTTTAATTTTTTGTCATTAACAGCACCATGTTCACAGCATCAACAGACAAGACATTAGGTATTTGGGATTATGAAACAGGTGCAAGGATAAAGAAGTTGAAAGGCCACAGTTCATTTATAAATAGTTGTTATCCATCTAGAAGAGGGCCTCAGTATGTTGTCAGTGGAGCAGATGATTGTACTGTCAAGGTTTGTTTCATAATTGTCTCTTTTTTTAATACTTTTGGTAGAAACTAGAAGAAAGTCAAGTAAAGCCATGATCCTTTTAGGTGTGCTAAAATTTAAGCATTTAAGATTGTTTTATTTTTTAAAATATGCACACAGCTTCTGTGTCATGAAGGTGCATGTCAAGTGCTTTATCTTTGATTATTGTTTTGCTTGCTTGAAATAAATCATTTCCACAAAAATGCAATCAAGATCCACAAAAAGTTCCTAGAGGTTTTCAATACTCGATACTCAAGCCTCAATTCTCGATCACCAACTAACTCGAATTATTCTCTATAGCTTTGAGTATTGAAGATCAAGTTTTGAGTTGAGACTATCAGCTTTCTCTTGAGCAGTACTGAGTAAACTATGAATTGCATCTTGAGTCATAAGTTTGTCGCATGGTTTGTATTTCAGTTGTGGGACACAAGAAAAAGAGGATGTGCACAAACATTTCAGAACATTTATCAAGTAAGTTTTCTTATCATTTTACCATGTTAATGTGTGAATTGTTTTTACGGATGGGTAATACAGTTTAGCTGGATCAGTCATGATGAAGGCTTATGCTCAAAACATCAGCTTTGAAAATTTTATGGTGGCCAATTTAGATTATTAACGCAGTTAGTACCCAGTCTTTCATCATGTTTGATAGATACCCAGACACCTGGTCATTCATGTATGATGTACATCATTCTGTTTGTCTCCAGCCATGCCTCAAGCTTAACCCTTTATATCCTAACATCAGTATACATTTTCTTCCTATACTTTTCTTTATAATAGTGCTGACAGAGAGAATTTGTTTAACAATCAAGAGCTTTTTTAGTTGGTGATCATTTCCTTTATTCTCATGACCTCATGCTGGAGTTAGGGTTAATAATAATAGAGGAAATAGTTACTCATCACTCCTACGGGTCAAAGGGTTAATAAGTGCTTTGTCAAAGAGTACCTTGATCATCTCTTGTTCTAGGTAACTGCAGTTTCATTCAATGACACAAGTGATCAAATCCTCTCAGGAGGCATAGACAATGAGATAAAGGTCAGTAGCCATTTTAGTCTGTGAAAGTAGCTTAACTTCTCTGATTCCTAAACAATTCATGCCAACTTAGTTAAAAAAAATTATCTCACCACTAGGATCTGTCAACAACTTAACATCAAATATATAACTATTATACAACATAAGTTCTTGAACACTATGCAACCAAAAATTTTTGCCTTTAGATAGTTTAAAAAAAAGTCCTAGTTACAAGTCATGTCAAGCTACCCTTTGTATTTAGGTATGGGATCTTAGGAAAAATGATGTCCTATACAAGATGTCTGGACACACAGACACAGTCACTGGTCTTAGTCTCAGTCCAGACGGTTCATTTATCCTCTCCAATGCAATGGATAACACAGGTATTATAAAGTATTACAAAGTAGATAGCCTATAGAACATGAAATTTCTTTTGTGTCATTGAGTGGAGATATGGAAAAAATGATGGCTTCCTCTTTTTGTGCCTCCAACATTTCACTCCCAAGATCTCAATAGTAATTTGCCTCACTGTCTTCCATACAGTTCTCACAATGTTTGTTCAGAGGATTTGGTATTGAATCAACTAATCTTCCTTCAATAAACTGTTACTTTTCTTTATTCTTGTGGCTTGTCTGCTTGATATTGTAAGGAGAAATTCTGTCTTGGTCACTCATGGGAGTTAAAGGATTGATCATTCCCAGCTCTCTTCCTGCACTTGCTCTTTTTATCTTGAACAATAAAACTTTGTGCTTGAAGTATTGTGTAAAGTACCAAACAAAATCAATAGATTCAAAACTCTTTTACTTTCAATGCTATTGTCCATAGCCATGCAAGGTAGTTTGTTCAGGAAACACTCTTTATGCTCATCAAAAGTCAATGAGTGTTTGTGGTACTTGAAACATACAATGTCATTTGAATTTATCTACTTAATAATAGTTGTGCATTTTTACAATTAACATATTTCATCTCCTTATCAGTTCGTATGTGGGATATTCGTCCATTTGCCCCTTTGGAAAGATGTCTGAAAGTTTTCACTGGAGCACAGCATAACTTTGAAAAGGTAACTTCAAGGAAGTACATGTGTACATGTGTTGTCAGCATTGAAAAGAAATTACAACTCATGCTGTACCTGAATCATCAGACAATGTAAGGCTGGTCACACTGTCAGATATACATGCCTCATATAATGGTTGAACATGATATATACAGACATTTTGCATAATGTAGTATTAAAAAACTGATCAAAATGGCAGCTCTTGTTAAATGTTAAATGTTAAATGTTAAATGTTAAATGTTAAATGTTAAATGTTAAATGTTAAATGTTAAATGTGAAACCATCAAATGAGGAATTTCATTTTTCCATAATTGTTATTTGTCTCTTGAAATTGAACAAATCAAAGTTTGGATCATCTATTGTGGCCACTTTATAGCTCTGCTTTCTGTCTGAACTAATCTCATGCTTTTTTTTTTTTTGTTTTTATAATGCTATGTTTTAGAATTTGATCAAGTGTTCTTGGTCCCCTGATGGACTAATGATATCATCTGGATCAGCTGATAGGTATTGTAGTGCACATACTCATTTTAAAATTGAAAATAGTTTTTCAGCACATGTAACATAAATTTGTGTGTTCTACATATTCTGGGTTTTTTTAAGCTCCAAATGTCTTTGTGGCTTGTAAGATATGCCATTAACTTAGGAACTTTTCCAGTCTCACATAGAACATTTTGAGTATTTGTTTGATTTCACTGTATTTATTCTTTTAGGTTTGTTTATGTCTGGGATACAAATTCCAGAAGAATTCTGTACAAACTCCCTGGACATGATGGATCAGTAAATGATGTTGACTTTCATCCCAATGAACTGATCTGTGAGTGCACAATTCATTCTTGATTTCATCATTGATCAATACACTTCCAGAAAAGCCATTGGAAAAAGCTTTGCTTGACCAAAATGTTATTTTTGGAGAATCATACTAATTCATAAGCAGTGTGGCATGAGCAGAAAAGTCTGTGAGATTCAAGCAGGCAAGAGTTCTCTATGGTATCTAACACTGATATTGCACTTTAGTGGGAGACCAAGGGGGAGAGGGCCAGGTGGCTATTGGTTAGTTCACTTGAGTTTGGATTGGGTCACCTGGTTATCCTGTTGTATTTTTGGGCGAAACACTCTACTGTCAGGCACCTTTCTCCACCCAAAAGTATAAATGGGTACTGGGGAATTGCCAGAGAAGCCTGATGAAATGCTGAGGGTAACCTTGCAGTGGACTGGCATCTCATCATGAGGGAAGTAGAAACACTCATAATAGCTTCATGCTTCAAAGATCGTGATAAGCTACAGCTATATGGGCCTCTTAGCTTAAGTACAGATTTAATCTAATACTTACGTGTACTTGAGTCATGTTTTCAAGAAAAGTTATGAGCAAAGAACTCATTGAATTTGACAGATTTACCCCTAAATTAGCAAGCTTTAAAAGAACTCTCTTTTCTATTCCAGTGATGTCCTGTGGAAGTGACAAGAAGATATATCTTGGAGAATTGCAAGCATAATACACATCTGCATTGCTCTTAGTCTCCTGGCCTGCAAAGTCAGAATCTTCAGAAATTCTTGGTGACACAACACACAACAAAAGACATGTTGTACATGTTCATTCTCTTTAGTTGTCAAGAACATGACATCTTTCACAGAATTTTAGTACAAATTCTGTTACTTCCATAAATAAATATAACCATTTTAATTTATTTCTGTTGCAAGACTTAGATTAACAGACTTTTAGAGGTCATTTTTTCACTAACTCTGAGATATAATAGTTATCAATTTATTTCATCTCTTTGCTACTTTTAAAATTTTCAAACATCCACATTTTATCTCACATCTCACATATATGTTCCTAGTTTACAGTGTATAAACTCATGTGAAAGAATATTGTAAGGACTTCAAAATACATGTTAACAAGTTTTCTTTAAGACTACAGAGTTTCTGTAAGTGTCAAGGCCTTGCTGATGAAAAAGGTTTTCTTCTTGAGGCACAAGAATGTAAATAAACTGAGAAACCTTTCTTTGCATGCTTTTTGGTTGAGCACATTGCTGTCTTGTGGGTATTTATTCTATTTTGAAGGAACAAAATTTAAGTCACCAAACCACAGCATTCTACAACACAGTATATTTTGATGTATTTTGGTGAGATATGAACAATGTTAAGATCTCTGCATTTAACATTGTTGTTAGTAATAACTTAAACTGTGTACAAAAATATATGACAAAAACAATGGTTTTAAAGTTTTAAAATAACTTCTGAATTCAATATTCCTGGGGTTCAGTCGCAAGTTAATTCATACACTTCAACTGACAATTGTCATCAGTTTCTAAATAACATCATGGCTTCCTTAGTGATGGAATTTTCATACTAATATTCCTAAACATCTAAATTACAGTAGCCCAACTATACATAATATAATAAACTCTGAAATTTTTCTAACTAGATGGTTGGACTCTTTATAAACTTTTGTGAACAAACCAATCTAAGATATCACCTGATCAATCCCAGTTGACAAGAAAATACAAAACCACCAAAGTAATTAAGAATTTGTCACTTCTTGGAAGTTAAAGAATGAAGATTCTGTACAACGCACGTAATCTAAAGTATCACATTTTAACCATTTTAAGTTCTTACTGACAAGCAGTCTCGACAAAGCTGCTATGATTCAGAGGAGCCCTCATTAGAACTCAAATGGTACCAGTAGTAAATCTGTTTGGATTTGAACCAGCTGTAAGAGTTGTCAAACACCAGTGTATATTCTCCAACATCAGTTACCAGCACCTGACAAATACACCATAAAAGACCCTTGATCATCAACTGGAAGTTATTGTTTACAAGTTAACCTCAATTATCACTGAGAGTTGGTACACTATAATAACCCTAAATGACATGGGAGAATCTGCAGCAGTGGATTCCCCTCTCAAATAACCTGAGTGCATTTCCTCGTGAAACAGGTTTAAACCAGATTCCCCTCAGGTACATATTGTCTTTTCCATGAGTATAGTGTTAATTGTGAAATTATATAACCATTCAGTAGAGTACTTTGAGTTGCCTGTGACCACTGTTAATTTGGCATCTTTAAAATACTGCAAGTGACCTAAAATACAGTATTACCTTGAATAAGAGCACAGGGGCTTCTTTGAAATTTCAATGGGAGGGGGAGTAATCATTGGAAGGGTGTATGAACCTGTACTGATTCTGTTGTAGTTGAAGCTTGAAAATTTATAAATTGAGTAGTAACAGAAACAGGTTTTCCATGTATCCCTACTATCTAAGAAAGTGTGGGAGGAATGGGGGCATGGGGGGGGGGGCACTCATTTGAGTGATGCTTTCTTGATATCATGGCATAGGGGTTTGGCACTCATTTGGGGGGGGTGGGGGTGCTTATTAGAGTATGCATGCTTATTCATGGAAATATGGTATCACTACTGAGCAGAAAGAATTTAGACTACCTGTACCCTTATGCTAGAAATAAATCAACCTACTTGACCATTCACTGGAGTAACATTAGAGCTAAATCTCTTGCTTTTACTCCATTCTCTGCCTGCTGGTAAACCTGATATGTAGCAACTGTTAAAAAAGAAGTAAAAGCTTGATGCTCAAGAGATGTATATTCTCTGAAGTAATAGTAAGTTAAACATTACTAAAAATGTAACTTCAACCCTTAAAACACGACCTTTTCCAATTATACCTAGACAAATTTATTTTTAACCCTAATTTAACTTTAACATTAAATTTTGTCAATTTTGGCATTATTAATTTAACTTTAACTTGAGATTAAGTAATTTAAGCAGAGACAGTCCTGAAACATGGATGGCAACTGGAAGCAGAGTAGAACTAATTATGGCCCGTACATTTTGAAACAAATATATTGACTGTAAGCTTGTCGTTTTATCATTTTTAACTAAACTGCAGTTATCAAAATGGTGTAGTAAGCACCCGGAACGAGAACTTTTAACTTCCATCTACCATCTGCATCTCAAAAACGTTTGTGCTGAAGCACTCCATTAAAACAACATGCTTAGAACTGCATTGAATTTCTCACTATTTAGGACCTAATCAGATCTGTATGGGAAATCCTGCATACAAAGATGCAATCTCCTGAAATTCTGTTATGAGGTCAAAATGTTTTATTTTCTTGAGGTTCAAGTGACCAAAAATTTTCCTTTACTATCTGTGTACCCTCTATCATAATATTATAGTTAACCACAATCAAAACTGTTTCCATTTCCATTTCAATGAAGCTGGAAATGCAGAAGCTGACACTGTCAGTTTTCACAGTGAGGTCAGTGATTTTGCAGGAGCTTAAAAAATTGTGCATATTTTGTACATCATGAAAAATCAGAAAGTAGCTTTGGTTTCTCCATCTGTTATTTGCAAACCATGTTCTGTTTTTCTATTTTTCTTAAGTATTTAAATTTAACCAGAAGGTGCAAATGAAAAACTGTTCAATTAGTTTGATTTACGTCACATAGCTTTGTGACGACTCTAATACCTGGGATCACTTACCCTATGTCATAGTGATTTGAACAAAAGCCAAACGAGATCCTTGAGAGAGTTTGAGTAACTTTGATGGGAACAGTGTGTGTTTGACCATGAGGTACCAAAACACCTTGGACTTCAGCTAAAACAAAAGAGACACTGACAATTATTTCATGACACTAACAACTAACTTTCAAGGCTATTCTTTTTGAAAGTCACAAATTCAAACTAATTTAAAAGTCAGAGCAGACTAATTCCAAGCCCCTACAAAACTATGATATGAAATTAGTACATGGGAAATTAGAATTAAAATGTAAAAAATCTACAAATATTATCTAATCTTACAAAAGACCACCACGATGCAAAAATCAAAAAGTTAACTCAACAGGAATAGTCTCAACAATGTTAATCCTTTACATCCAAACATCAGTATGCATATTCTCCATACTGTTCTCTATACATTCCCTAAGGTGCTGACAAGGAGAATTTGTGTAACAATCAACAACTTCTTTAGCTGCTGATAGTTTTCTTTATTCTCATGACCATACTGCATGATTCAAGAGTGATGTTGTAAGGAGAAACTAGATGCTAGTCACTCTTAGGGGTTAAAGGGTTAAGAGTAAAGAAAAAATCCTTGCATACAGGCTGCATGCAATCACAGAAATTTCTGCAAAGAAAAGCTGGCCTGTGAAAGGATCCAAAACTGTGCCTTCCAGATATTAAAGGGGTTAGGTTCTAAAAAACCTGTATAACAAGATTATTTGGTATCACCAACTGAGTTGATAATGTAAATTAGCCACTGTTAAGCGTATCAAAGCTGACATTTTGAACATTAGCCCTGCATCAGAGTGAATGACAAAAGGCTAGAACCCTAGAAACATCAGCTTTGATCATCTGAGCAGTGGCCAATATACATTTTTACTTATCAACTCAGTTGACAATACCAAATCACCTCCCAAATTAGTTGGGTACCATCTATTTCCAACTGAGTTACAAACCCACATGTTGGGGGTGCTTCTGAAGTCTATAGCTCACTTACAAGGATAAATTCTTTTAATTTCTGTCTTGAGCAATGTATGTCACTGCTGGCTGGTCAAAATATCTCTTATCATTTAATCAGTGAAAATATTTTTAAATTATCAACTGAAATAAAAAAAGACATCTAATATTTTGCTCATTACACACAACCAAGACACTCTTAACAACCTAAGTTAGAGATGAAAAGTTTGTTTATTTAATTTACCTCCATGTCTGCCATGATGAGACATTCTCTCTTTAGCTTCAAGTGTTCCCTAAACATAAAAGTTCACGCTTATTAATCAATGTCTTTATAAATCAAATGAAACTTTAATAACTAATAAATTAAATTAAACTTTGATGACTAATAAATCAAATGAAACTTTAATAACATTCATCATCATCATCATCATCACCATCAGTTACAACATCACAGTTAACCTTTTCAATCCCAAGATCTCATTTGGTAACTCTCCTTACTGTCTGCCATTCAGTTTTTATAATGTTAGTTTAGAGAATTTGGTATTTGATCAATTAATAATCCCCTAGTTGATATTTTTCTATATTCTCATCATTTGTCAGCTTGCTATTGTGTAAAGGGGAAATTCTGTGATGCATGATTGACGTACACCTTTAAATCATATTTAACCCACCAGGCAGTGAATGATACTTATCAACTCAGGAAAACAGCAAAAAGTATAATATTGATAAGCCTGAAAGTGCATATGATTCACACGCATTGCTAGATCAGGTTTGAAAATCATAATTATAGCCGAGCTCACAGAGTGTAGCCCCATAATTATACAAAATAGTAGTAACCCATCAAGCCAAAAAAATTTGGATGTATGACCATACAACCATATGACCGTACAAGGTGCTACTTTTAACATGCGTGGTCAACTATACCGCGGGCACGCCAACACCACGGCTTTGTTCAGTAGTCCAGTGGTCAGTGCACTGGGCTCCCAGTCGGATGACCCGGGTTCTAGTCCTGGTCAGGGCAAGGTGTTGTGCCCTTGAGACGTGCAGGAAAAAAAAATGCAAGCTCTGCTTTTAGGCTTGGCTAAATCTATATACTAGTTCAAATTGTTTTTAACCATGGAGAATCAAATTTAAGTCACTTGGTCAGCGTAATCATTGACATCATAATTATAATAGATAGAACATCAGATTTGTGACTGAAAATCCCAAAAAACCCATTCCACAATAAATTGAAAATTCAGCCTTGCAAACCACTAAATGCTGAATATGTATACAATGAATGATTAGAATAATTGAGAGTCATATAATTATTTTGTAGCAGGACCTCAATGATCTTTCTTATCCGTGAGACATTTAGTGCTTGCTGCCATGCAAACATGTTAACAGCCCACTTTGGGATCCAGCCTTTAGGGTCAGCTTGAATGACATAAATTATCTGTTAAAAAATTAAAAATAAAGAGATTGTTACATACGCCTCTTCTGGGCCTGGTGTTTAGTGCACAGGACTCCAGAAAGACTCATTTATCTGTCTGGTGTCACTGTGGCTTGTTCTCAAACTTCATGAAGACCAATAAACAAAATTACTAAGGGCTGTTATAAACTTAAAACATTCTGTAAATTAATTCAACAAATTTCGAACACTCACTGGTTTGATATAATTTCCTATTAATACTTAACTGACTGTATAATTTACAGAAGGAAAAAAACCTTACAATAATTGCACAAAATTAACATAACATGCAACTAAGCCATGCTGCTTTTCAGTTAAAAAAAAATTATTGAACATAGATTTATTCTAACACAACTAAAATTGACTAAACTTGAAGTACTGGTACTCACATCCATGTATCCTGGGTCATCAACACGATGTTTAAAAACATAACCAGTACTCAGGATTTCTGCTCGCACTAATTTGTAATTCTCCAAAGTGGGGCATTCAGGTCTAGTAATTGAAGATCCCTGTCAAATTGAAAAATAGAGGATTATTGTTGGATAATTATTAACAGTAGAATTCTTATGATTATTAATTACTAGATAATAATATAATTAGTGATTCAGCAAATAATTGTCATCATCCTTATTACCATCCAGTTCAGATCATGTGACAAAAGTTTATTTTACAGTTGTGTGCTTGGTTGCCAAGCATTTGAACAGGAGTGAGGCTAAGGGTGACCTTGTTGTTATACAAACCTTGCTGCTTTTCAAATGTAAATTACTTTGTTCTCATGCTAACTAGATACTGGTCTTTATCATAACAAGGTCACCTTCAGCCCCACTCCAAATCAAAGTCTTGGCAACTGAGTACACTGATTAGGGGCAAAGCTTAAACCTCCCAAAAGAATCGCCATTAACATAAAGTGAACTTAGGATTGATATTCGACACATGTATCAGCTAAATCTGTCACTTGTGAGGATGCAGAACATGAATTGTATACAACACTGTGCATACCACTCCAAATCCAAGTTCATTTCCAGTTTCATCAATGATTATGTCTCCATATTCCAGCCAGCAGACATCTCTGAACCAAACAGGCCCTGGTGACCCCATCACCGCCCACTTGATGGAATAGAAAGGTACTTGAGGGGCTTTGTAATTAGCAGGAAACTGATGCAACACTAAACCATCTTGAAAATGAGCATCTGAAGGAAAAAGAAGAAAAATACCAATTGATTTCTCTCAAAGTACACAATATTTTAATTCACAAATCTTACAGATTCAACTAAGATCCTTATGGAGAAAAGACAAGATTATCAATGAAAATCTCCATTCAGGCTGATACTTTCTTTTCTGACATGACTGACTCTTACAGCCTATAGATCACTAATTGTCATGTACAAACCTGCAGTATAAAGCCAGTTAAAGCTTGCTCCATAATTAAGTCCTGTTGAGCTCAGGTCAACATGCAGGAGTGAAATTCAACCTGGCTTTGTTGAAGTCAATCCCAACTGTGTCTTCAGAGTTTTCTAATACATTCAGCTTTATTCAATAGAGTTATTTTGTTCCTTCATTAATACATCACCCTCACCTATCATGTGGAAGAGACGTCGGAACTTTTCTGTAGTATCTGATATCATAAGGGCTCTTGCTTCATCCTTGGATGCTTTAACTCTGGTAACACCACGGATTAGATGAAGCTGTTATTAATAATGAGGAAGAATAAAAGCTAGGTTAATTATCCTTGCCACTGCCATCTTAAAAAGAATATATAACAATGATGATGATGATGGTGATGGTGACAACGAAAACAACAACAACAATGATTATGATGATGATGGCATGATCCTAATGAATCTCCAGAGGGTCAGGAGATTAATTTTTTTAAACTAATGTTTTGAAATGCTTCAAAACAATAACCCATTCATAGAAAATGAAAATCAGATTTAAACTATGCATGTTATCCACAGTACCTGACTACCAGGCCATGTTCCTTGGTAGACGTCAACATCATTCTTGGTGCAGACATACTCAAAACCCTACAAAGACACTTGATGTAAACTTAAAGAAAAAAAACCAACATTTGTTGAACTTTCATGATTTTCAAGTCTTAACATGAAGATATAATTCATTCAAGTACTAAATGATTCTTAATAACAGTTCACCTCATCAGATGTGGAGGCATCCAACAGTCCCTTGACCCAAGACTGAGCTAGTTTAGTGTAATGTTCTATCTCTTTATCTGTTAAAGGTGTTATTTCTCCAAAGAAATTGTCTGGAACTGGGTACTATTCATCAAAACATAAGTAAGAAAATAGAATTATTAGTTGAAATAAGTCATAAAATATAAATCAAATAATATATAGATTTAGCCAAGCCTAAAAGCAGAGCTCGCATTTTTTTTCCCACACATCTCAAGGGCACAACGCCTTGCCCCAGCCAGGACTAGAACCCAGGTTGTCCAACTCAGAGCCCACTGCACTGACCACTGGAATACTGGACAAAGCCGAGGTGTTGGCATGCCCACGGTACAGTTGACCACGCATGTCAAAAGTAGCACCTTGTACAGTCGTATGGTCGTACATCCAAATTTTTTTGGCTCGATGGGTTACTACTGTTTTGTATGATTATGGGGCTATGCTCTGTGAGCTCTGCTATCATAAACCAAAGAATTAGTATTGACTTTATATACTTAGCTGACTTCATCTCTGTAGTCTAAGTGTGTAGTACTAAGCATTTTTTTCTTTATTGCATTGTCTTTTCAAATCAAATTTAATAATACTGTTAACTGTAATTTGAAAAAAGCAATCAAATGGAGAAAATACAAAAAATCTTTCTGGTTGTTAACAAAAGGCAATAAAAACTATGAAATAATTAGGCTAAAATAAATGTACAGATCACAAAAAAAGATTAAAACTCTCAAAAGTGAAGCACACACTAGTAAAAAAAATTAAAATAAAAAACCGTCCAGCCTTTGTAAGTTTGAGGTGTGGATACCATCACCTGGGACCAACACATCCTGGAATTATTGCAGCAAGTTGAGAAAACTAAAAATTTAATAGTGGAGCTTGTATAATATACAAAATAGTAGTAACCCATCAAGCCGAAAAATTTGACCATACGACTGTACAACTGTATGACCATATAAGGTGCTACTTTTAACATGCATGGTCAACTGTACTGCAGGCACACCAATGCCATGGCTTTGTTCAGTAGTCCATCCAGTGGTCAGTGCGCTGGGCTCTGAGTCAGACAACCTGGGTTCTAGTCCTGGCCGGGGCAAGGCATTGTGACCTTGAGACGTGCAGGAAAAAAAAAATGCGAGCTCCACTTTTAGGCTTGGCTAAATCTATATATTCAACACTGTAACAACATATTGAGTAAATATGGTATTTACAAACCGTGAGCTTTTTCTTTATATGATTGCCTTCCTCTCCATGGTCTGATCTGAATACCAAAGTTAAGGGATAATGTTCAGGGAAGGACAAGTATTCCAAGGTTCCACTGAGGTTTAAACCAAAATTGGAAACAAGTTGATCATTTAGCGTGTGTAAGATGCATCCAGCTGAAAAATAATTATTCAACAAGGACGAAAAAACTGATAAATGTTGGTTGAAAAATGGATGGAGATTTAACTTGTGGCTCTTTAAAGTACTAGATTATGGAAGAAAAAGTCCAGGTTGAACACAGGCTTCATTATTGTCTTACATTCTTAGGCAACATACACCAGCTCTTGTCACTCAGAGCCTCACTCTCCAATTGGGTACCAGCAAACTTTCAAGGAAATGTTATGAATCATAATTATCATCATTCTCACATGATTATCCCAGGGGAATCTCCACTCAGACCGTGTATTCTACACTCCCCCACCCCTCTCCTTATTTTCGAACGTCAACCGCCCCCTTTATACAGATTTCTTTCTCTCTCCAGCCTTCCGCTGTAATTAAAATCAAAGATGGCGTCAATAATTTCGTAAACACATTACTGAGCACTCGCTCGCCAAAATTACGCCTGCTCTGCAAGCTAGATAAACGGCTGAGTGACTGACGTTTCAACGACCTAAGCAGAATTAGTAATCATCATCTCAGTCAAGACTGACCCCACCAAAACGGTTATCTTTATAAAGAAATTGATTCAAAATAAATGTACGGTATTTAACCAGACGTGTAGAAGCGACTAACGAGCTAAATATTTGTCCATAGAAGCCCCATAGTTTACAAGGGCTGCTGAATATTTTAAAACTTTCATAAATAAACCGTTACTTCTCTTGCCTAAAATAAAAGCTTTCATTTTAACCAATTTTCTCTCAAAAATTGCATAAAGGATCAGAATGAGAACCGCAACACATTTTTGACAAAAATATTTGAACAAATTAAACCTCTAATTGCCAAAAATGTAAGAATTATAGCTTCACTAATGGCAAATAACATTTTTTTGTGTAAATAAATACCAGGAATCTCCTCCAATTTGTTCTTGCCAGGAACGTAAACAATATGGCCGTCCTTCTCTTCCAATGAAAAATCAATTTCTTCTTTCTTTGTGATGTATTTCTTGAACTCTTTCATCTTGAAAGTTTTTCCCAATGCCTGAAAATATTTCAAGGCCTCTCTCTTCTTCATCATGTTCAATCAATCACCACAAATGTAGCCATGATTGTTGTCGACCCAAGACAAATTATTGTGTCACGTGGAGATGGAGTGCGTGACAAGTCAACAACCACAGCCGTAGAGGAAGTGTATATAAGTTGTGTCGGGGGAGGGGGTGGTGAGTAAGATGCTCGAGGTTGAAACCTTAGTATACACTCCAAGCGAACGCAAGAAAACTATTGGAACGCTTTGAGAGGCATCATAGTACCTTATTCCATTTTCAGTCGTGCTCATATTGTTAGTTCTTTCTCTGTGACCGTCAGCTCCATAGGGATCACAGATATAAAGGCCAAAATCCACGAAAGCTGGTTGACAAGTGAAGTTAATGGACTTTTGACGCATATTTTTTTGTTCAGAAAGTAAATGGTTTTCATTAGAAGTGTGGATACTAATGAAACAAATATTTCACAAGCGCTAAGGGAGTGGTAACAATTTAAAGAGAATTATTATGTAAATTTTACCATGGTTTCCCAAGTGAGCCTCCGTAGCTCAGGGGTTAGAGCACTGGTCTTGTAAACCAGGGGTCGAGAGTTCAAATCTCTCCGGGGGCTGAAATGAAAGTTTCTTTTTTTTCCTTTTTACATTAATCTGTTCATATATTTATTTGTTTTAATTCATGTATCATGCCACTCAAAATTTTCTTCTTAGTTTTTCAACTAAAAACAACATAAAGAATTAGACTTTAGAGAGTAAATGAAAACTGACCATCTTCAAAGTGTCTCCTCTGCCAACTTACATGTACAACCTGAATATTTAATATATCAAGACTTTAATTTTTTTTAATCGGTACACCAGGACTGTTCAAAATCGTAAATAAACTTATTTTTCACTTGAAATCATTTCAAGATACACCATGTTGTTACTGCTCATTAAAGATAACTTTTAATTACAGAAGTGTTAACTAGAATGCACGTAATTTCTAATGTAATGTGGGAATATTAATGCTTTCCTTAAGGGAAATGAAGTTTTCAATCAATGTCAACAGAACACCACCTAAACGCCCAGCTATTATTTGTTTAACTATATACAATAATTAAAACTATTAAAGCAAAGAAAATATCAACGAAAGTTAAAAAAGGTTATGCTTATAACCATTTGCAAACTAGTCTTTTTTCTTTGAACTAATGTTTATCTAAATATGTGGAGCAAACAGTTGCTCAAGGGAGGTCTGTTGTTAACTAGCCAAAAACAATTTTGTGGTATTTACTTAAAGGTGAACCATTGTAAAAGCCATTTGTGGCTTAACTTTTCTAAAAAGTGTGCTTCGTGTAATTGCCATCAAGGAAAAATTACAAAATTCACTAAAAATGAAGGCCTTTCACGATTTAGGTAGTACTAAGTACTGCATTCAGGTTCCAAAGAAAGCCTACAACAAACTTTTTAAGCATAACACTTTATCTAAAACTATGCTACACACAGAAATATCATATATACACTTCATTCAAAAGCTAATTAAGTTCACAAATCTTATAACCACACTCTAGCAGCTTAGGAATTAACCATCTGTAACTGTTAGATCATAGTTACTCTGAGTAGCCTCACTTGATATATCCAATAATATATTGACCAACAAGGCAATCAATAAGTTGCTTTTACGTGTATGTGTTCCAACACAGTAGGCCAACAGTAGTAACAGATGCCTAGATGACTATCGTTTCTTTCCTACTACCCAGCTGTCTGCCAATGCATCAATGAAGGCTACCTATGGCACATATGATTATTCTTCTGATAAAAGTACATGTGGGGATAAAAACTGAATCACGTAAGGTAAACAAAGAAAAACTTTCAATAAAAAATATGCCATTAATATAATTACAGGTATTTACAAACACACAACTCTTTCAATACATTTACAGATAAAAACCCCCAAAAAGTGGGAAAGTATTCCACCTCTATCTCAGTAACATACATTTTTACAAACACTATCGTGATCATCATCTGTGATGTGCATATTTGACACATAAATGTACCCATCACAAGGTAAAGATGAGGAGGCCAAACCCTTAGTCTTCCTTTCCTTTCTTGCAGTAAGAAAACATTGTCCAGGAGATAAATATGTTTGAAGGTGAAAGAGAAGTTTTTGAACCAAGAGTCATAAAACTAAAATTAAAGCAATCAGATTTACCTGGCACAATAAAATGGAAATATAAAAAGCAGAGAATGAAGCCACAAAGTTGACACATAGAAAAGGCCTTGATATTGTGAGGACCCCAGGAAACAAGTGATGGAAGGTTTTTGAGAAGATAGGGTCAGTTCCAGGACTGATAGCAGAGCAAAGTGAAACACAACCAAGTCAATATAATCCTTAATTACTTTTGATCTAAGGTGCAAACCCTCAATGTAATGGACATCATGCAGTGGCACTTCAGACAGAGAAAAAGCCAAATTGCCAATTTCTATTAGTGGCTTTGAACTGATAAGGCAATATGTAATCCAGCCAGTGTAAGTAACATTTTCTCCAACAAAGTTCTATGGAGCAAACAATATTAAGTACAATGTCTGCATGGGTCAATTCTAACTTAGCTATCTTATAAATTGCTTAAAAAAAAAAAAGCCCATTGTATGTAGTGCGATTGAATAGATACTATCTAACAGTAGAAACATCTAAAATACAAGAATAGCTTCTAACACACTGAATCAAATTTATGTCCTTTAGAGATTGAAATGTCTCCAAATGGCTTTTTCTGATGAACATTGATACTGGATTCCTTGCTAAGCAGCAAACAACTGTAAAATTTGTACGCCACTTGTTTCCTACTTCCTTTGTGCACCAAGCTTCCAAAGCTGACAGTGTCTTTTTTGTTGAACTCTCTCTTAAGAGTATGAAGCAACTGTTGTGTACGTTTTGTCCATCGTCGGTTTTCAAACTGTTCACTTGTCTCAGAGCTTTGCTGCTCTTCATTTGTTTGGGAAGCTGCCAATTCCTGTTCTAGTTCATTATCTTCTAGCTCATCCCTGTTTGGATAAATATCCTCCACACCTCCAGCTAAGAACTGCTCTTCCTCTTCTCCTGGACGTTCAAAATTCTGGTCAAGAGTAACATCAATGGGTTCATCAGGTAATACTGTCTCATTAGCCTCCATGTTGGCAAAAGAAACTGAAGATCGTTTACTAGCTTCGTAAATTCCTGATCCCTCCTCTTCTTCTCTTGCAACTTCTGGTTCATCAATGTCCATTTTTTCTTCTGATTCAGCTGTATCAGACCCACCATTGACATCCTTTGTTAGATTTTGCACAAAGGCTTCCACCACTGGCAATGCAAAGAATTCTGTGCCAGGCAGAGCAAAAAGCTTTTCAACGGTTGAAGAAATTTTCAGCTTCATTCTGCACTTTGTTGGAGGAGCGAGTGTGGCTGATCGGACAATATCAGATGTGTCAGACAGTTGGGACTTGATTGCTTCTGTAGCCAACAACTTTTCATCATCAACTATTAGCTTTCTTTTCCTACGACTACGCTTTTCTTTTTGAACAACTTCCACAGGTTCAAGTACAAAGGCCTCTGATTCATTGTGTAACAGAGTTGTTTCATTTGCAGTCTCATTTATAACACCTGTTTGAATAAAAAAACCAATGAATTAGACTGATTCAAGTTAAGAACACTAGTAACCTTCAGTGTGACTGAGACAATGTTGGTCAGCAGTTTATCATTTAAATTAATTGGGACATTTAGACTTCCTTGTAAAGGGGGGGGGGGGAAGAGAGAGACAAAGTTTTTTTTTATTTTTTTTTATTTGGGGTGGGGGGGGGGAAGACATTAGAGCTTCCCTATTTCAGTCAGGTCTCTCTTCTCTCCCAGGTTTTTCTATAACACTTGCACCACGTTGCACCAGCTTTAACCCTTTAAATCTCATGAGTGACCAAGACAGAATTTTCTCCTTACAATATCTACACAATATCAACCAGATAAGTGACAAGAATTAAGAAAAAGATCAATTTGGGGGTAATTAGTTGATCCAATACTAAATTCTCCAAACTAACATTATGAGAACTGTATGGTTGACAGTAAGAAGAATTACAAATTTGATCTAGGAGTTAAAGGTTTAAAAAAGCTGCACATTTGTACATAGCAAAAAGAATAAAGCAAGTTTGTTAACTTAAGTTTTCCACTGTTTATTTGTGGTCACTTGACACTTACATTAAGTTATTTCTACGTTGCAAGAGAAACTGCACGCAAACATTAGCAACAATGCTTAAGGAACCAATCAAATGTAAAAACAAAAGTAAAGACTCGCTTGGACCAAAACCTGTTAGCCTTAAGCATTCCTTAAGAAAAACTCTTGTGGAATTCTACAGTTGCATTACTAGTAGTCAACAGTTGGCATTTTAAATTGTGTTAAAGGGATCAATCATAGGGAACGTTTGATATACCTCTTGATAACAAGCTTAGTTGGTTAACTATATTGAATCAATGCACAGGGGCTGTGTAGATCAAGAAGCTCCACTTTAAAAATAAAACTCACTTTCTTCTTGTCCAGTTTCAGCACTGGAAGTTTCCTTCTGTTCTTCTGAGTCTAACTTGGTATCCACAGGTTCTAAAGTAACATCTACAGCAGCCAAGGTAGTTGGCAAGTCATCAAAACCAGGAACTAGAGCATCACCACCAAGTTCATCTCCAAATCCATCTGCCAGAAAATCCACACCTTCCCCACCAAATCCATCGTCTTTGATTGGCTCATCAAGTGCTATATCTGAGGAAAAATCTTAATATAAGCAAAGGATTTTTTTTCCTGCCCTATCCAAAATCATTAATTAACGAATTGCTCATAATGATATACAGAGGGTTCTTGATGAGTCTTTTCACATGCAAAAACAAAAAGTAACAGGTCATATTGTCACAGGGTTTGTACACTTTTTTGTGGACAGAATTCAAGACTTTTTCCAGACCAATTTTTTTATTTTCCAGACTCAAGGTAACAGTGAGATTCTTCATGGCCCGAGAAGAAATAACTGTCTTAACTATGAAAACAATGAATTTAAAAAAATTCAGTTTCAGCTGTTTAGTTCTTCACTTACAGTGACACAACCAAACAATAGCAGTATACTAAATTTCTACCATAAAGCAAGTACCTTGGTTCTCAAAACAATTTTTTACAGTACACTTTTTCAACAAAGTCCTTGGGTTTTTGCCATTAGTGTGTGATTAACAAAGAAGTGAAATCAGCTACATTGCAAAGATTTCAGCTAGCTTTTAAACACCTGCTGCTCCTTAAGAAAAATTCCAGACTTAATCCCATTTTTCAAGACTTTGCCTTTAATTTCCATACTTCTTCCAGGTCTGGAAAAGTAGTTCGCAAATTTCCAGACTTTTTCAAGAATTCAAGACTTTGTACAAACCCTGTTGTCACTTGCCTCTCTCCTCCCCTATACTGTACCAAGGGTACTGGTGCAGCATAGAATTAAGGCATTTTGCCTGGCTGCGAGATTGACTTTAAGGAATTAACTCATGCACATGTCGGTCAAAATAGGGGTGATTTCTTAAAGGTGTGACATACTTTCACCACATAACAACACCTTGAAAAATTTTTATCTTGAAGCATTTTCATAAACAGAAACATGATGCCAATGCACCTTAAAATAACTAATTAAACACATAACACAATACCTATCCTGCTCCTTTCTAAAGTTGAGTCTGTGATTGCCTTTGGTTCATCAATAGTGCTCAGTTTAGAGATGTCATTTGTCTTGTTAAGAGGTTCCTCAATGGAAGCCTGGTGTCTGAACATCTCGGTTTCCAGCTCCCCCTCAAACATTATGTCTCCAAAACCATCATCTCCAATGAAGTTGTTCGTGATTATGTCTTCCTTCATTGTAATCTCTTCAATTCTTCCTTGATTAAGGGTGAACTGAGCATGAATTTCAACCTCACTGTAATGAAAAACAAATTGCTGTTTATCAAGATGCTGTACTATTTCATACCATGCTTTTAAAATTCAAGGACTTTAAACCCTTACACCCTTGCATCAACATCCATATTCTCTATATTCCATTTTATACATTTTGTTTGGTACTGACAAGGAGAATTTGTTTGAGATAAGCAAATCTTATTAATATAGACATAACCAAATTCAAGTTTTTCATATAAATTTGAAGAATTCTTGTTAGCAACACAATGGCTAATTTTGACATTTTTACCAAAAAATTACAAGGATAGCTCAAAAATTTTCTTATCAGAAACATGATTCCAAGTTATTCAGAGTGTTCCAATGATAAACTCCTTTTCAAATACTACAGTAAAAAGCAATCATAGAGAGAAGGTATAAAAAAAAAAAAACATCAGCTCACTTGAGTTCAGGCAGTGTCATATCAAGGTCAGTAAAAACTTCTGGCATGGTAACTGCTGCAAATGCCAGCTCTCTTCCCTCTTCAGGCAAATCAACCACTCCTGGACGGAATGCCATCTTGATTTTTACAAATGCTTCTGTGCAGTCAGCCAACAGATATTTAGTTTTCCTGGAGTATATTCTGACAACACCAAGAAGTAGATGACCAGATGTTCGTAAGGCAAGCTTGACTTTGGGTGAGATGATACTCTCGACTGATGAGGGGAGATCTGTTTCAGAGACCAGTGCCTTGCTAAGCTTACGCTCCCAGTGAGCAGCAAGCCATACTCTGGCCAGTGGAGCCTTTTTGGCCAAGATGAATTGATGATAAAACATGATGCTAGTAGAGCAAAAGGGGCTATATCATGTGTTCCGTCTGAAAGAAAAGAATAAATAATAATTACTTGAGGTATCTTCCAGCAATTTTACTTCCATATGAATTTTGATTTTAACAAATTGCTGAAACCTATGCTCTTTCTTTATCATTTTGCTTGCGAGCATTACTCAAAAATGTTGGAAAAAAATTGCCATTCAAACAGGTAACTCTCAAGACTTGCCCAGATTCCTGTTAATTCTCCAAAAGCCTACCAACTTGTCAACTTCCATTCACCGTTTACAAGACTTTCTACTTGCTCTCTCAGCAAGAAAATGTAAGCTTTTGATAAGAAATGATTGACGGAAGACTAGTGTAAAAGTAACAGACACAGCTCCACATCTGAATAGAAAATAGCTCAGGTCATTGAGATTAAGCCAAAGAATTCTACACTTACATAACCAAAGAATTCTTCAATCTCTGATGCATCATGAACAACCTCAAAGAAATACCCTGGTGTCAAGTGATTAACCTTGCTCACTTTTATAAACCAAACCACGCTAATAAATGTTTCAGATTTTTCTCATCTCATCATGCTCTCATATACTCATCTAACTTTGCAAACATTTATCTCCTCTCTTCTTATCAAAAAGTCCATTGCTGGGTTGTCAGATTGTTTGAGATAGGAGACTGTTTCTTGTTTTTTGTTACTTCCTCAAAATGAAACCAGCCATAAACATTTTTGTTTTAGTTTCCCACAAGTCTCCCTAAGAATTTTTCGTTCAATCATGATTTTGGTTACCAAAAGGGTTTCATGTTTCTTTGTACTATACACATCCTCACCAAAAATGGTTTCACATAATTCAAGAATGGGTATTGAGGTTTTTTATTCAGCAAAAATACAATTTTTAACCCTTTCACCTCTTAGAGTGACTAGCATCCAATTTCTCCTTACAAAATCTCCCCAGAATCACACATGAAGGTCATGAGAATTAAGGAAATGATCACCACATAATGAAGCTCTTGATTGTTAAAACAAATTCTCCTTGTCAGCATTTTGGGATATGTGTAGAGAACAGTACAGCAAAGATGCATACTGATAGAGGTGTATAGGGATAAGAGGATCCTTTTTGAAAGTCACACATCTTCAAAAATAGCCCTTGATCCATTAAACAAAACAAATAATTTATGAATGTTTTAATTTTGTGGTCATTGGAAAATACTGAATGTCACATTACAACTTGGAGGTTCTATTAATTTCAATCAATGGCCTAAGTTATTTAGCTGTAAAGCACTTTGGTTATCACCAATAATTGTTGACAAAAACTGCCAAAAATAGCAATTACTTCTTTAATATCTGCATGTTAACCAAAAATACACATGTTCAAACATGCACATCCATTACCAAGAAACCGAAATTTGTTCAACAGGACCTCTTATAATGAAAGTATTAGTTCAGAGGGATTTGACTCCAAACTAGACTCAACCAGAAACCATCGCCACAGAAGTTTCAACAAATTTCATTTAATATTTTCATTCTGTGAAGTATCGCTAAAACGTTCATCGATCATCATTTGTGACACAAACAAACGTCAAAATTGTCCCTCAAAATAACTTCTGAGACCTGTTTCGTTATTTGAAAATTTGAATTATATGTAAACTGTGAGATGAACTTGCTGCAGTTCCCTTACAGAACTTCGGAAAAGACATTTCATCGAGACTGAAGGAACATAAAATTTATCACAATTACTCTCGACTAATTTTAAAAGGTTCGACTCACGATAAACAGTAAAAATATAACAAACGCACGAGTGGTAAATTTCAATTTCGGTCACGATAACCAGGTTAACGTTTTTCGGTTACAGGAGTTGTTTCGACCTTAACGGTTGACAAGACATCTTTTCTGGTAATCAAAAGCGCTAATTTACATTGCTAGCCACAGATATATCTTCATGAAGCAAATTTAGCCAAAAATTGTCGCTTAAACTGCCCCAAAATTGGTATCTCGAGGCAAATTAGTGACAATTTGCAAATTTCGCCAAGTCGGCCTGACAAAAAGCTTGCGTTCGCAAACAAGCTTCTCTGCAAGATTTAAACTCAACATGACACTATAAAACGTGATGTAGAGCAAAATAGAAGCTTTTCAGCATGAAAACTGGACAAATTTTTAAATTTTGATTGATTCACGAAGCGAGGAAAACGACGCCAAGCGAACTCAACTGGTATTGTGTTACTTTGTTATAAGCGGATAGAAGTTTGTCACTGAGAAAAGCAATAAGGACGGAGCTTTACGTCTAATAAATATACAAACGAATACTAAATGCATTATTCTTCAACACTTACCAGTTTCAGTTCGAAATAAGCATTAAAAAGAACCATAAAATACGTTTTTTTCTTCCCTATTATAATTCAATATGGCAGCCACAATTCGAACGTTCAACGAATTCCCGCCGAAATTTGCACATCACGTGATTTTTGACACGGCTACCAAGGAGCTCCAGCCGTCGCCATGGTGACCGTTAGCAATGAGCTCTTCCCGCCTTTAAAGGGGCATAAACAGAGAATGGAGATAGACACATTACCATACCAGGGCTCTGCGGAAGGAAAGATCAAGGATCCGACCACGCAAACGCATTTCCATGAGTGTCCTCTTCTGTCTCAAGCAAAATGATAGGAAAATATTGCCACTCAAATGGCTCCGAATTGATCAAACGACTTCACTTTCATTTGAACACGTCTATCGTAAATCTAGAGCAGACAAAATCGCAAATAGAGGTGAAAGCCAAGGTGATAGATTTCCCGTTCTGTTTTCACAAAAAAAAGCTTCAGTTTTGAAACCGTTTTCATCAGCGTTTATAGGCGCTCTAAAGCGGATGATAGGCAAAAAACGTGTCAGAAAGTATTAAATTCGTTTTCAAGCAAAACGTCATTAGTGTAGATGAGGTCTCGGCTATTGAAGTCCTACACTTTTTCCACAATAAACCAGACTGCCCAGTATGCCAAGAATAAATGAATCACTCTACCAAGGAAGCAGAGAAGTTACATTTGACTGTATCTCCAAATACAAAAAATACTATACAAATACGAAAACCACCTATTGTATTTTCTGAGGGCTTAGATCTAGAAGAGAAAACAAGATGATCGTGAGGGGTGAGAGGTGCACTTTGCCCCTGCCTTACCCTAAAAATTAAAGTAGTGCAAAAATCATTGCAAAGGTAGCGTTAAATTGGTTTCATTAAAGATGCGATTCTGTTTCACATATCCTTTCAGCTGGACCTCACTTGGAGAAATAACTTAATAAGAAGACTTGTTTTGACGATATTTTCCTTCCCCCCAGCCTTTGTTACGTTTCAATACGCTCTAACTCTTTTTTATGCCATTTTGAGAATTGGTCAAAAGTCGCCAAAACGCTCTTTCGCTCCCCGTTACTGAGTCTGTCCAGTAGGGTCACATAAGTTATGCTCGAAGATTTGAGCATTTATGCTTTTGAGTGTCACCGAAACATAACGCCGAAAATTATCTTCAAAAGTTTCCATTATGCTTTATTCAGTAATTGAAAAAAATGGATTTAAGAGACCTTCAACTCTCGAATTTTATGTATTTTACGCGTCCTTCATAATGCTAGGGCCAGCGATGTCGATATATCGTCATGTTTGTAAATGGAATAAGAAAGATCGTAAGTTTCGGTTAAGCCGGAAATAGAGAAAGGTGTTTTTCGTCTTGTCACGAGCATAGGACAAAGAAAAATAATGCTCAAGCAGCTACGTATCTGGCCTGACTGATTACTTTGGAGTTGATTCAACGACACCAAACAACAAAAACACAAGGTACATATCACGACTATCTAGGAGACGTAAAAACGCCTCAGTCTTCAACACAGCGGTCAAATGATTGCACCTGTGCACTATGATGGATACTCTGCCCTTGTGAAAATGGAGAAATCACATAAGACGTAGTTTTTCGCAATTTCTAAGGAAAGCTCGAAGTTTCTAAGACCAAGACTTATACACATTGTTGTTCTGGACTTTACCCACTATGTGTTAGTTTATATACTCGTACTTTTTTTTTTACACTTTGCACGGTGGCCTGATGAAGACGTCCGTAAACTTGGCCGTGCTGGCTGTAGTTATTTTTTGTTGTGTTCATAGCGGAGTTGCAGGTCAATAACGAGGGAAATGTGTGAAAAAAGGAAGAACCAGAGCCATACGAAATATTTGTAACGATCACAGGTCTATGTTTACAGTGGAAAGTAAACTGAGTAGCAAGGGTAGAAAAAAGGTTCCGAAACGAAGAGTCCACGTTAAAAACAGTTGGTATATCTCACAATAAAATGAAGCCAATACTTAATCTTTCTCCAAAATCCTTTTTCATTTGTCTCACGTATTGGAATAGCTAGGAATTCTTTCTTCTTTTCCTTACTTTACGCTAAACACACGTTCCGAAATCCCTCTTTTTGTTTTCAAACTCTCGTGCATGTGCAGTGTTTGACAGCTGTGCTCCAGTCTTCACGCGTCTAACGTTCCGGACTCCACCACCCCTCCCTCCTTGAAAACAAGAACCTTGTCACAGTGTCGGATGGTGTTCAGACGGTGAGCTATAGTTATTACTGTGCAGTCTTTCAGTTTCTCTCGCACCACTCTCCAGATTGTTTCTTCTGTCCCTGGATCCACGTGTGCAGTGGGTTCATCCAAGATGATGATCTTGTTCTTCTGCAACAGCACACGAGCCAAACAAATCAACTGCCGTTCTCCTACACTGACATTTGCACCATTTTCCGACAATTCGTAATCCAATTGTCCCTCAAGACTTTCCACGAAACCTTTCAGCTGCACATCCTCTAAAACTTGCCACAGATCCGCATCTTGGAAGCGCTGCACAATATCCAGATTTCTCCGCAACGATCCACTGAAAAGCAGCGGAATTTGGCCAAGGGTGGAGATACATCCTCGAACTGCTTGGAGACTGATATTCTTTATCTTCACTCCATCCACCAGAATCTCTCCGTCAGGATCGGGCATGCGCAATAGAGCTGCTGCAAAAGATGATTTCCCCGCGCCCGTGCGTCCTGCAACACCAATCTTTGAGCCTCCTTTGATGTCAAGATCGATGCTTTTCAGTGCTTGAGGACCCTCCGGGTAATAAGTTAACGACACATTGCGGAATATGATATTTCCTTCGCGAGGCCATAGTTCGGGGGGAATTCTGTCCACTTTGTATCCAGGCTCTGAGTCAAGTTTGGTGTAGGCCATAACTCGTTCAACTGACGTCATAAAATTCTCGACATCTGATGATTTTCTGACAGCGTATTGCGTCAGAGCCACTGTTTGAATGACGTAAGCAAGAGCAAGTCCAGCAGAAACTAATAAGAAAAAAAGAAAAAGAAAAATTAACAAACCATGAGATTATAGATGATCGATGACAGCTTTTCTCACGTCATCGAAAAACTATCGATAGTCGTTCTCAACTGAAGGTGTTCGTGAGGTAATGAAGTCTAACCTTTGTCAGTAGCACGTCGTTCGTAATATCAGTGCACTTTGAGAGAGCGAGGAGGAGGAGAATATTGGCGGTATCACATGGTTTTCAAGGAGAGTGGAGGGAAGACAAGTCGTCGACAACAGATCGAGTATAAGTCGTATCAGGCAGTACAGAAATTAACTGCCAATGTATGGGGGAGGAATGAGAGAACTATAGAGCCATGGGAGGGAGGTCAGATCGCTACCCACCCCTCTGCGAAGAATTAGGACCGGTTCCTCAGCAGTAGAACTATGGACCACTCCATACGACACATGTTGTCACGCGAACATGTTGCAGCGACATGCTATTGGTGTTCTATGCACATTTATACGGGAAAATCTTCATCAAACTCAGACTGATTTAGTATCGCCCTTATGGAGGAAGTGAAAGTGAAAATTAATTGTTTGACTTGTTTCTAGGCCATGAGCAAACCCAGCCAGCGAGAAGTCTACAAGGGATTGGGCACTAGAATAAGGACAAAGACCTCATGCAGATCTCTTGAAGGCTGGCTTCGCTCAACACCTCTATCGTATTCGTGGACGAAGTAAGGCGTGTTCTTTAGCGCTCGAAATGAAGGCCTGCACGTAGGTTAGAAATTCACTTACCAGCATCTTGAGATATCAAAACTGCCACCAAACTCACTAAGCCGATGAACAGAGAAATGATCGCATCCAGGCGGACACCGAACCATCTGCCACTCGCCATCACCATGATAAAAGACTGGCCATGAGTGTCTTGGTAGCTGTCCAAAGGGAAATAATATGCACAAATTGACTAAGTCGCCAAACTTGGTCAATAAGTATCTTATCATATGAGTGTTGAAAATTTGGCTCAGGACTGGCTCACGTCAAACCTCTTCGTTCGGCCCTGCACCCGTCAGCTCTTACTATGGTTTTCTATGGGACTGTTTGCGCAAGGCCGTGCGAGTCATTTGATATTTCATTAAATAAATTGACGTATACTCTCTACAGTTCAAATGTTTAGTCCGCGTAGCACTTTCTCTAGTCTGAGTAACGCAGTGGAAAAGGGGGAGAAAGATAAAGAGAAGAGGGAAAAGGAAAGAGCATTTTCTGCAGATTTTAGTTCGAGATGCGAATTGTGGCCCACTACACCACGCACGCTTTGCGAACCAGGCTTGACTTGCACGTGAACGAATCGCACGCTTACCTTTTAAGTTTACATAAGAAAGATGCACGAACTTACCTGTAAAACTTCTCAATAAAGTCTGACTGTCTTCCTCTTGTTCGAATCGTGTCCAGCCCCTCAAGAGTCTCTGTTATGTGAGAGAACACTGGGCTTCGACATACTGACTCCAACCTTTTCAGTTCCCTGGAACTTTTCAAGTAGAATCTTGCGAAGTAAAGAACTGTTAGCGTCACTGGAATAGTGACAAACAACAGCCAAGTATTCGTAACAGAAGGCACGATAACAGATGAGAGAAACAGCAACACCAACTCTATTGAAAGTAGAAAGTCTAGCGGTAATAATTCGTCCATGCAACCCACGTCTTTAGAGAAGCGATTCAGGATTCTACCCACAGGATTTGAGTCAAAGAATAGAACAGGTGCTTGTAAAAGAGCCACAACCATTTTGTCATGAAGACGCTCAGAGCATCTGAGACAGACCAAAAAGAAAATGTAGGCTCTGATGATGCCGAGCATGAAAGAGGTCGCGACGAAAAACCCATAAATGGTTAGATTTGTCTTGTCTCTCTGTTCTGTTGGAAGTTTCCAGGTCAAAAAGGACAACCAAACATCAGGGGCAACCAACAATGCTAGAAAAAGGGAGAAATAGAGGTCGAGTAATTAAAACACTTATGCTTACTTAGATACTTCATTTCCAAGAAATTTTCACAACACCAGGGGACTTGTCATGTTTAAGGGACTGGTAACCATTTTTTGCCCGGGTGAAGAAGAGGGAAGGGGAGGATTTTGAGGAAATCA